TGTGTGTGTGTGTGTGTTTACCTTCTCCACATGTTGCTGCAGCTGTTGGCTGGCAGGTGGCTCCTGAACGATCTTCCTTGGAGTTCCGATCTCCTCGTCGGCATCGGCTCCCAGAAACACTCGCTCATCGAAGTCTCCCACCGTCAGCACATACTCCTCATACTCCCTGTTTATGGCTTTACTGCAAACACATGCATAAATTTATCTACTTTTCTAAAACAGAAAGAAGAGGGAAGAGCACGAGCTGTTTTCTGTTCTCTTGTTGCTCACTTGTTATCGATGAAGTTCTGAGGATCCAAGAGTTCAGTCAAAAGCTCATCGTGACCTTTCAGGATCTGATTGGTGAGAAATGTGAGGTAGCAGCAGATTGGAGGGAAACAAAATTACTGCTTGAAAAAAATGAAAAATAAATAATGAAAAAAGCTGGAAAAGAACTGTAATGATTAAACACATGTATGCATGTGTTTAGGATAAAGTGAATGCACCTGTTTCTGACACAGCTTCTGTATGTAAGGTTTGAAGTAGTGCTGCTTGATGCCTTTCGCCTCCACCACCAGCCCGTCGTGGAGCTCGCACAATCTCTCCAACACGCATGGAGGAGGCTCATCAGAGGAAATATGTCCATCAGCACGGTACGCAGCAGGCAGACCTGCACACAGACACACAAATAAACCAATGTACTGTGCAGGTACTGGAGCAACAAGAGCCTGTTCCAAAAAGCAGGTTTAGTGAAAACTCTGAGCTACTCGATCCTAAGATTACGTTTTCTGCTTGATAAAGCCTGATTTTAAATTTTGTGATCCTCAGCTGCTCAGAGTTTATTCCCCAAACTCTGAATTTCCCGAGAAGCTAATCAGTGTCTCACTGTACAAACGTAAAACACTGATCATATAAAAGGAATTTGTCATGTTGTGATTAATCGCCCTGATGTAACATTTCTGATCACAGCTGTAAAAGTGTAAACAATGATCAGCTGTTTAAGAAACAAAAAACTCAGGAGTTAATCAATGTAGAGCTTTCTGGGAATGCATTCTGGAAAAGATAACACATAACTGAAATCGGTCTTGCAATTAGTCTGAAAACGCTTTGAGGCAACCACACAGGTCCCCCACCTCTGAACGTCGGGTTGATGAGGTCTTTCCTGTTGGCACAGAGCAGAGCATTTCCAAACACCAAGTCCAGACAGC